TGGTTGGAGGTACAGATAATGCGGCACCTTATGCACAGGGATGCCATTCAAATGAGCTCTTGCTACTCCATGTCAGAAAGCAACTCTCACATTCTTTGCCTTCATCCTGCTGTCTTGTTGTGCCCCCACTAGGCAAGTTTCCTGGAGACATCCAGGTAGATGTTCAAGTTCATGGTTGGGCTGTTGCCAACACCAGACTGTCTTAACACTTTTGGGTCCCCAGCACATGCATGAGGCTCTTAGTTTCTTCATAGAACCAAGTTGCCCTACGTGCCCTGGTAGGCTCTTTTCTTCCCCTGGTCTTCTGTCTTCTGTCTTCAGCATCAGACATCTCAGATCAATAAAGGGTACCTGCACCCGGGCCCCTGTGCCTTCAATCTATATGGCTCTTGTTCAGAAAACCCTTCCAGATGGGGACTTGTATTTTTTAATATGTAAAGCATTTAGTGACTTTTGAGTGCTATATAAATACCAAATAGCACAGAAAAGATACAAATGGCACGCAACCGACTGTCAGTGCAGCAAATTAAGCTTCTGTTTATAGCAGGAGTGTAAATATAGGGTTAACGGTTAATTCATTTAATGATGAATGTGACACCACTGTGTTATCCTGTAAGAACGTGAATAGAGATTTGCAGCAGACAACATGCTGTGAGCCCAAAAGAATAGGAAACTACTGCCTGCTTTTTTTAAAACTATTGCAAAATGTGGACACAATACTTGGACATAATAGACTGTGTCTGACAACATTTGTACAGTATGTAGCGGAGTGAGCCCCACTCAGCTTCCTATAGTTATCCATATATAGTGACTAAAATTGCAGACACTGAATTAACTCTGAATAACATATGAGCTGGAGTGACAGCCTTCATGTGGTTCTAGAAGGATGAGAATAAGATAGATGGCTGTTTGTGTAGATGTACTAAACTGCAAATCCAGGGGTCCATAGAGTATGGAAAATATGCCAAAAGCTGGGTTGTCCCTTCCATCCCACAGACCCCATTGATTTCCTGCAGGGCAGGAATCCCCCCTTGCAGAGCAGCTTGCAAGATCAGGGTAAATCCATTTCTAGTAACAGACTTTCTCACGCACCCTACCCACTACATTCACGTTTCTCCACTTAGCCCACCTTGGCATCCTTCTGAACCCTGTTATTTTTCAAAACTATTTGGAGAATAGAGAGTGAGTTCTGAATGCCAGCAAGCAACTCTGCCTCTACTGAACCAAGCGGAGAAAGCAGTTGCACTTGAATTTCCCAATTGCCAATTCTCCTTTTTCCTTTCTAACACCAGAATGGAAAGAGCTTTTAGCAAAACTCTCTCTCTAACTTTAGCGGCTGCTCCAGTACCATATAAGGAGACGGGCCATTTCCAAGATCCAAAATATTGAGGGTTTCAGGAGGTTGAGAAAATGGCGAGTTCATATTTATACAGAAACAAGTGGTATGTCAATCCAAATCACAGAACCCGTGCAAAATGCACTCTCTGACAGGAACGCCGCTAAGCAGCGGCGTTCAGCGCCTCGTTTTTAGGCAATCGTCAGGTAAAGCTCCATCTAGAATAGATTGAACTAAAGCAAGATGACAGGAACTGGGAACCCCCAAATCCGAAAGAAATAGCTTTAGGGATGAAAAAGGAGAGTGTGTAAATAGCAAAAGTAGAGGTACCACATTTTGGAGCCAATTGCTTTAGAGAATAAGTGTGTTTTTAAAAACGGATTAAAATAGATTTCTGCAATGGAGGAGCAGGGAGTGCACAAACATTTTTATTTTTGCTCTCAAGCAAATCCCGGGACGTCATTCTCCCCCTGTACTCGGCCTTAGTGAGGCCGCAGCTGGAGTACTGTGTCCAGTTTTGGGCTCCACAATTCAAAAAGGATGTGGAGAAGCTTGAGAGAGTCCAGAGAAGAGCCACGCGCATGATCAGAGGTCAGGGAAGCAGACCCTACGATGACAGGCTGAGAGCCCTGGGGCTCTTTAGCCTGAAAAAGCGCAGGCTCAGGGGTGATCTGATGGCCACCTACAAGTTTATCAGGGGTGACCACCAGCATCTGGGGGAACGTTTGTTCACCAGAGCGCCCCAAGGGATGACGAGGTCGAATGGTCACAAACTACTTCAAGATCGTTTCAGGCTGGACATAAGGAAGAACTTCTTTACTGTCCGAGCCCCCAAGGTCTGGAACAGCCTGCCACTGGAGGTGGTTCAAGCGCCTTCATTGAACACCTTCAAGATGAAACTGGATGCTTATCTTGCTGGGATCCTATGACCCCAGCTGACTTCCTGCCCTTTGGGCGGGGGACTGGACTCGATGATCTTCCGAGGTCCCTTCCAGCCCTGATGTCTATGAAATCTATGAAATCTGAATTGCTTGTTTATTGTAAGGATGACCAGGATCTGGAATGCACTACCCAAACTGGTTGTGCAGTCAGTCCTCAACCTTGGAAATCTTCTGAGACTGGACAGCCTTCCTGTGATCATGTTATCTCAGCACTGCTCAAAGTTCCCTGAGTAGGGTGCTTTCACTTGCATGATCTTGTAGCCCATACTTCCTATATGAATCTACAGGATTCACAATCTGCTATTCATGAAGCTAGTCACCTAAACCCTGTGAAGAGGGCTCGTTCACACATTGCCCACCACTCATGACCAGGCACTTCTGTGTATGGCAGCATCCAGCATGCACACAATGCTCCCACCACCCAGTGTCTTACTTCAACAGTGACACAACATTAATAGCTATTATCATGCTGTTTTCCAGTTCCTATCTGGAAGTTACTCACGACTCATCGGGCAACTAGTTTGCCCCATGGTATCAACAACTTTCCCCCAGTACTGTGGCTGGGACATGCACAGAGGCTATGCTCAAGCCTTCATTTCATAGATTTCATAGACATTAGGGCTGGAAGGGACCTCGGAAGATCATCGAGTCCAGCCCCCTGCCCAAAGGGCAGGAAGTCAGCTGGGGTCATAGGATCCCAGCAAGATAAGCATCCAGTTTGCTCTTGATTCATTGTGACCAAGTCATACACAGATGCTAGTCTTGAGCCTTCTGTCTGTGCAAACGCCAAGGATGGGGCAGGCAGGTGCGATCATGGTCATTGCTGTTGTGGGGGAGTGAAAGGGTTGGGCAAGTGTTCTCCAGTACTTCTGTCTGGGTCAGTGGGTCACAGGGTCTGGGATACAGGCTCCTATTCTCAGGATGAATCCCCTGACCCCCCCCCCCCCCCCCCTTCCCCCCCCCCCCCCCCCCCCCTCCCCTTTCCCCTCATCCATGCCTGGTGCCTGTGAAAAATGTTACATTGCAGAAAATATGTTAGCTCAGAAGTGCTCGTAAGATTTTGAATGAACTGATCTTACCCCCCATCCTCCACTAAATAACAGGTTATTTATTTCCCCAACATGTAGAAATGTGCACACTGAGCTTTACTATAGAGTAGGTAGAGTGGCACCACAGCACCGCCCTGGCCCTGTGGTCACACCACCTTAGAAGACCACTGCACAGCACACACACACACAGGAACGATAAAGTTCACACATCATTTTATTTGTCATCCCCTTTCCCTTCCCCAGAACTGTACAAGAGTGAACACCTCTCACAAGCCAAGGAAGACATCAATTCCTACAGCAATTTCATCCTTAGTATCGGGCCTTAGGGTCATGTAATGCTGTGACAGGTATCCATCTAGCCATTGGCGGAGGTTGCACGGAAGACCAGGCTTGCCCCCCATGCCATTGTAGCTAAGTGTCCAGAATCATGAGCGTAGGTGTGCATGGGGCACCAGCAGGATCAGCAGCAGCAGGGTATAGTGACTAGGGACTTCAGCCTGCACAAAGCTCATCCCATATGGCCTGGGGCACATGCAGCAGTGACATGGTTAAAGCCCATTGCCGTCATGGTGGGGAGGCATCCCTGGGTTGCCTCCCTGGAGAGTGTGAGTGCCCTAGGGGGGCTGGCGGCTGCTCTGCAGGACTAGGATTACCATACGTCTGGGTTTTCCTGGACATATCCTCTTTTTTGGCTCCCTGGGCTGCATCCAGGTGGGATTTTTAAATGCAGACAAAATGTTTGGGACTTTCTCCCCAAATCCGTTTTCAGCATGGCCACTGCTAGGTAGAACTACATTTCCCAGAATACTCAGTGCATGTGTGTGTATGATTGGGAACTGAGTTCATGATGAGGACCCAAGTTTTCAGTTTATTATGGAAAAATTCGGAAGAAGCAGTACAACTTCAGCAAATGGGGGCAGGGACAGGGAATGGGGGTTACCATGTTTGTCTGTAGGTAGGTAAGCCAGAAGGTGGGGGTTTTGGACTGTTTAGGGTCCCCAATCTGGGTGGGGGGGCTGAGTGTGTGTGTGTGCGTGGCGGGGTGCTGGGGCTGCAGCAGGGCATGGGGGCTGGAGAGACAGGGCTGTGGGGAGCTGCGCAGCCCAGCCGGCTGGGAGATGTTGCCCAGGATGGTCAGTGTACAGTCATCCCCTCCCCCACCCTCCAGGCTGTGCAATGGTTGGACTTGTTCCAGCAGCACCCACAGGAGCTAGAGTTGTTCTTGCAGCCTCTAGCTGACTAGGTCCAGCCAGGATGGGACAGGGGAAGCTGTGGGGAGGGGCACCAGCAGAGCCCACAGGGGAGAGCCGGGGAATTGAGACTGAGGGGACCTGGAAGGGTTGTGGGGGTCAGGGAGCTGTGGGTGACAGGTGAGGGGCACCAGCAGAGCCCAGAGTGGGGTGGGGACTTTGAATTGGGACTAAGGGGCACCACCATCAGCAGAGGCAGGGCACTGGTATATCACTTGGGATTGTTCAGTGCTACAAACCAGCAGGGGTAAGGGGGGGACACAGCAGCAGCTGGACCCACATCCTGTTGAGCAAAGTGGGTGGGGGAGCTTTGATTTTCCGTTTAAAAAAGTAAAAAAATATAGGTATTATAATTCTATTTTATTATAATGATTGAGACAATGGTAGGCTTCCACATTGCTTTAAAATTGTAAATAAATCAATAAAACGTGTTAAATTGACAGCAATATATATATAGTGGTGTTTCAATTTAATCATGGAAAAATGCAGGTCCAGATTTTTTTAAATCAGTGAACTCAGGTTATTTATGAGACAATTTTCAATTTTTAAACAGAAAAAAGAAAACCTAGTTCTTACTGTAGTGATTGAGCAGACACTGCATAAAGCAGGAGTGCAGTCTGCTAGCTGAGTGCAATTTCAGCATTTACTTAATGCTTTTGTTTCTCATTAAATTTCTGAGGCAATAACACTTGTTATTTACTGTAACAGTTAGAAATGCCCCACCCCAAACAACCGTTGCCCCTCCCCCCTGGACAGGTGTCCTCTTTTTTAGAACTGGAAATATGGTATCCCTATGCAGGACCCTCACAACAGTTGTCCTGGAGCTCTTCACATCATGACTTCTGGCACTGAGGGCTGTGCAACCGTGCATCATAGTGGTTGTTTTGCATGGGTAGATGGTGCGGGGAGAGGAAAGTGTTCAGGTGATGGCCAGTTGCCTGCGGCCCGTCATAAACCATTGCAAGATTGCCCACAAAGGACATAGTGGGGTGGGGGGGATTGTTTGGTGGCCTGCAGTGGCCTCCTGGCTGCTGTTTATGACCACTTGACTTACCATTGCCACTGCGTGCCACTGTGCATGGCCAAGCCACAATCTGAGGAAAGGCAGGAGACTGTAGCAGTTGCTGAACATCTTATCTGAGAAATGTTGCAATGTTTCACAAAGTGTGAAATGTTGTGAAGTTTCACATAGTGCTTCTGTCTCTTGGCTCTCCAGAGTCACCATCTGCATGTGGAGAACAGTACAGCTCCAGGTACAGAACACCTCAAGTTTATATTTGTATGCTGCTACATATAGAAATTATGCTTAACTAAGAAAATATATAGAAGAAAACTGGGTCTATGTCCACTGTGCTGCCAAAGGATTTCTAATTGCCAATGCTTTCAGGGCTGGACCTTTCCTTGTCAGTGCAGGATATTACCCAGTCACTTCACATTTCAAAGAGTGCAATTATCACCCACTTAGGAGGAGCTCCCTCTCTTTCTTCTTCCACTGCAGCACCAGGAGCAGTTGAGAGGGGCTTGTTAACACTTCATCCCCGGTCTTCTCCCATCCTCTCCTCCAACCCCATACACTATATCTGAGGCTAGCCAGGGAATGCTTGGCTTTTCTTTCTTACCTCTCTCTCTCCCTCCCTCCCTCCCTCCCTGCCTCCTGCCCTCCCCCAGAAACCATCCATATGCAGGCATTTTTGCTCCTTCCCAACAAAGGAGTCAGACATACCAGGGAAAATGCAGCTTTATTCCACCCGAGAACTTACTAAGGAACACGAATATAACTAATTGAAGCCAAGAAAGTAATGAAATAAGAGGCAGTACAAGTAAATGTGAATCCCTCTCCCATCAATTGCTTTCTTTTCTAAGAAATCCAGTAACGTGCTGTGGAGTTGATTACTTTGCTTTCTTTCCCACCTATGCACCCTCTGTCTGACCAACCCCTTGCTCTCAGATGTCTCCTCTAAATCCTCAAGGCACTGCATGTCCAGGTCAAGAAACTGGGGGTCTTCAAGAGGAGGTTAGATAACCACCTAGCTGGGGTCATCTAGACCCAGCGCTCTTTCCTGCCTATGCAGGGGGTCGGACTCGATGATCTATTGAGGTCCCTTCCGACCCTAACATCTATGAATCTATGAATCTATAACTGTGAAGGTGTCAACTGTGTTTTAGAACTGGCAGTTAGGGCAATTGAATCAAGCACCATTTACCAACAATACAATGGTGATAGGCATTGCCTGGCACAAATCAGCCACCATTTTCCATATGGATAGATCGATAATGTCCCACTGCCAATCACACTGAGTGTCATTGGCTGGCAGTTCTGCCTACAGGCAACAGTTTCCCTACCCTCACTCATAGATTCATAGATTCATAGATGTTAGGGTTGGAAGGGACCTCAATAGATCATCGAGTCCGACCCCCTGCATAGGCAGGAAAGAGGGCTGGGTCTAGATGACCCCATCTAGATGCTTATACTACTTGATTCACTGTGCCACTGAATCAAGAATTCAACAGTGCTGGGGGTATGGAGGTACTATGTCCTTGACTCCCAGAACCCCAATTTTGTTTGCAATGAACAATGGAATATTATCTGGGCAATGGGGAAGGGGTGGTCCAGAACTTGATCTAGCAGTGTAGAGAAGGAGAGCAGGGCACCAGAGGCTGCAGTGCTCAGGCATCACTACAAATGTAGCATGGGTGTTAATAAAGCCTCATTCCAAAATTGGGTGGTGGTTAAGTATGGACACTTGCTGGGAGAGAACTTGATGGTTCTGGAGCCTTGACACCTGCCTCAGGTCCTGAGGTGTTAACGGTAGCTATTGAGACATAGCACTGTCCATTGCACACCCCTGTTTCAAACTTGGACTAGTGCAGTGCAGGGCCCTTTTCTGGGGAGATGTTTTTTGTAAACCAGAGTTATTTCAGGGCAGGGCTGTTTTCTGGGGAGAGGCTTTTTTTCAAAACAGAGTTCTTGCAGGACATGGCCTGTTTTCTTGGGAAGATGCTTCTTTCTAAACCTGGGTGCTTGTATGGCAGGTCTGTTTTCTGGGGAGATGTGTCCTTCAAACCTGCGGAAATTCAGGGCCAGCCTCTTTTGGGGAGATGGTTGTTTACAACAAGGGGTTATTGTGGGGCAGGGCTCTTTTCTGTGGAGATGCTTCTTGTGTATGCCTATTCATTGATCTGGTAAAAGACAGTATCTTAGGGTTCATGAACTGGTTAAAGGGGTCATCCTAAGGACCATATTTCAGTTATAAGTGGATGTGCAGGACATCCCCTTTCCCACATACACCCACCCACCAACTCAACATGGTAAAGGGCAAAGGCTCTACTGCGCTAACACCCAGAGCACAGACACCTGAGCCGGGTAATCATTAACATGCAGATAGGAGGTCACTTTCAGTGCTAATTGATTGTATTCAGCTCCCATTTCTATTCAGAGCTCTCCCACCCCTCCCACTCCTAATGAGCCTTGGTGGTGCTGTGTGCTGAGCAGTGGCCCTGCTGCATACTGGCAAACAATCTGTCTCTGTGGAATCCAGATGGGATATGGGAGGAAGGCCAAATGGAGATTTCAGATGAAATGGATGAGGAGGACAAAATGGAGTTGAGTCTCCTGCTGCTGCTCTTGGATTTACTGAATAGCATAAAAGCACAGCTAATGACTGCAACATATGCTATGATAATGCTTATAAACTGTTGCAATGATATGCCAGCATGTAACTGCACCTCACGAAGGAAGGCACTTAGTTGTGCAGTGGAGTGGGATAGCCAAGAGGCAGATGCAGAAGTGGAGGCTGAAAGGGCTCTGTGGATCACCCTCAGGAGCAGTGACTGCAGAGTCTGGGCCCATGTGAGCAGCTCAGACTGTTGGGAATGAATCGTACTGACCACTTGGAACGATCAGCAGTGGCTCAAGATGTTCTGAATGACCAGGGAGACATTTAATCACACCGTCCCAATGCTGGGCCCAAAAATAGTGAGGCAGGAAACTGTCATGCATTGAGCCATCATGCCAGATAAGAGGGTGGCCATGACCATCATGAAACTGGCCACCCCTGTCAGCCTCCGCTAGATCACAAACCAGTTCAGCGTGGCTCCCTGCACAGCCAAGCTGGTGATTTGCGAGGTAAGCCAGTTGCTGCAGGATGTCACGGCAAACAGCTTCTTTTGCCTCAATAACCCCTAGAAAGTTATGGTTGGCTTCAGTGCCATGGGGTACCCTAACTGAATTGGGGCTTTAGACAAGCACACACGTCCCTGTGCAATCCTCCTCACTGGCGAACTGCTCATTCATGAGCGGAAAGAGATTCGCCTCAGTAATCCTGCAAGCTGTGGTGAATCACTGGGGCTGGTTCACTAACATTTATACAGGATGGGCCAGCAGCGCACATGAAGCACATGTGTTTAGAAACTCGCCGCTGCCTGGTGTGATGGAGAAAGGATACTGTGTGCACAGAGTCATCTGTGGTGTTCCTGCCCGCCCCCACTTATAATAGCCAATGCTGCTTACCCACTCAAGCCATGGCTCATGAAGCCTTATGCGGGGCACATTACTGTCTCACAGAAGATGGCTTTCAACTACCATCTCAGCAAATGCAGGATGGCTGCTGAATCTGCCTTTGGCTGTGTCAAGGTATGGGGGAGGGTGCTGAACTGCAGGCTCGAGTTGGAGCCAGAAAAAATAATGGCCTTTATAGTGGCAGCCTGCGTGCTCCAGAATATTTGTGAAACCAGGGGGAAGGTTTTAAGTGAGTCATGGGCTGACAAGGTGTGGGAGGCAGTGGGAAGCCAGAGATGTGGGCAGGCAGTGCATAGCAACCCACAATGCCAGCCTTGAGACCCTGGTCAGGTGGCCCTTATGCAAGACTGCCTGGCCATACATATAATGGACACTGCTGATAACTAGCACTGACTGGTTCTTCCAATAAAAATAAAGTTCTTATAATTTTATAACAGAAAGCATCTGTCTCTTCAGTACATTGTCTGTAGTGCGGGGGAAGAGGTTTCGGTGAGGGTTGGAGGGGCAGTGAGGATCGGGTGAGGGGCTCCCTGCAGGCAGCTGTGGCTTCCTGCAGTGACTAGGGAAGGATGAGTAGCCGGGCATCACTGGGGACTGAGGCAGGGCATGGGGGGAGGGGAGTGAGCAGCTGCCTGGCCTGGATAAGGGGTTCTTGTTTGCAAGGGGAGGGGGCAGGGGAGGAATGCACAACTCCATGCCCAACACCCAGTAGACTAGCCATGTCCTGTGAACAGTTAATGAAGTCTCTCCTTGGCCCAGGTGGAGGGGCAGGGGGCGGTATGAATAGCCTGCAGGAGTTCTTGGCTTTTTGGTGGGTGGGGGCAGGGGGACGGGAGTTGGATTGGTTGGTGGGAGGACAATAATCAAGAGTGGAGTAGAGAAAGTTCAGAGGTAAAACCTGGGCCATAACAGAGCAGATATGCTTTCTGGGGAGATGCTTCTTTCTAAAATAGGTTTTGCAAGGCAAGGGCTTAGTATGAGCCAGCTGGATGAGAATGAATCAGCCACTCTTGGGGGAAGTTACACTCCCAACAGAAAAGTTCCTTAGGGAGCAGTAGGCATGCTTGTAAAACACATGCCTATCCAGCAGAGCAGATCGAGGAACAAACTCCTGGCTTGTGCCCCCATCCCAGCTATGAGGCTGATACCAGTGGTGGTTGTTGTTCACTGCCAGTCACGTGGGTCCTGCTTCCCCCACCCCCTGACACCCATTAATAGCACCCGTCCTAGAACCCGCCTGTGCAACAGGAAGAGCATCAGATGGTACTGCAGGTGTCACAGGTGGTAAATTTGTCATTGAGGAGGTGTGCCTTGCAATGCTACCATGTTAATGTTACTTACTGGAAAGTTGCACCAGTCCTATAACTATAATTGCCGTCCAGAAAATCCATTCAATGTGGATGTATGGTCCCAGACCCCTCCACCGGGATAAGTTGCTGCCAGGCTGATAAATAGGTATTGAAATCTGCCACGGGCGATTTAGTAGGCTGTCAAGAAGGTGGCTTTGGGAGCATGGGGCCAAACCCATCTTATTTCTTCCCCTGCAGAACAATAAAACATCGAAGGTTATGTGATGCTGCTGGCCATTGAGCATTTACTTTTATTATTTTTTATTCTGTAAATGTATACTTGTTGGTTTTTATCTCTACTTATTTTTTAATTGTTGTTTGTTTGTTTTCCTTGATAAAAATTTGTTTTGTTTCTTTGCCTTTGTAAATAAAGGTTGTAATTTATTCAGTTCCTTCCTGATGTGTTATATTCTTTTTCATTACGGTGACTGTGGGAGCTGCAGTTGGTGGAAGGGATTGTTTTAGCAGGTGCAGGGGCTTCCTGTGGTTACTGGAATGATGAGTAGATGGCCCCTGATGTGGACTGTGACAGGGTATTGGGGGAGGGAGCAGCTGCCTGGGCGGGGGAAAGGGGTTAGGTAATGCTGTACCTTACTCATGTTCTCTTTGGCACAGGCAGGAGGGGAAGGTCAGGTGGGGGATTGTTATGAGCCTAAAGGTGCCTGCAGCTTCCTATCCATCTTATAATGCTATATCCAAATAAAATGCAAATAATGTTTTTCTGGAATAAAGAAAAGGTGTCCATTCATAGATTCATAGATTCATAGATGCTAGGGTCGGAAGGGACCTCAATAGATCATCGAGTCCGACCCCCACATCGAGTCCCCCCCCAATGAATATAATATTATTATATTCATTGATTTATTATTTTCAATTTTATAATTATATTGGATATTAAACTGTAGAATGTATATAGAAAGGTTAATTAAATTGATTAAACCTTGTTTGTCATCATGATGAGATGCATCTACATGCCATGCCATCAAGTCTGGTGGCAAGTTAGGGGGGCAGTGGGGACTATAGCCATCCCAAAATTGCACAGAGCCATGCCACCTGCCACAGACAGGTGCACATGTCTGGGCAGGTGTTCAGGGCATGCAGGGGTCCCCATGGAAACCACCCCAGAACCTGACCACAGTGGATACTGGGAAATGTAGTCTTGAAATGCAGAAAAGGAAATGGTGGATGGACACGTATACTCCCCACCCCTTCTGTGCTACCCCATGCTCATGGTGGTAACCAACACCACCACCACCACTGCAGGTGATGTACATCCTCCCCCAATCCCAGCCCTGACTACCACCAGGGATGTGAAGGAGGATAAGCAGTGGGGCAGGACCACTGAATGGTAAGTTTGCAACTAAGGGGTGTGGCAACTCTTCTTAGTACTTTAGTAGTAGTACTTTAATACTTTGAGATAACTTTATTTTGATTGCATTCCAGCACTGCTACCAGCACCAGGAAGGGTGGACGCTGAGTGCCAAACCCACCGCCCAGGATATGCTGCATCCCAGGTTTTATATAGGTAATTTCAGGAATCTTTTTAATGTAGTTGGTAGCCTTGTGGGTGAAGGTGAAGCAGGTCATTTTGGGATTATGGGTCAAAATCCCCTCTTCTTTCTTCCATTACAGGCTGCTCAGAAGATCAGAGATTGAGTAGAAGGACAAAGAGGAAAGTGAATAAAAAGATAGAAGATAGACAATACAGTTAGAAACAGTACAGAAAGGACATTGTCACTAGGGCTGTGAGAAATTTCACCAGCTGTTTCATTTAGATGCTGTTTCAGCTCATTTTGAGCTCAAAACAGTGGAATCAAAACAAAACGAAGGGCTTTGAAACAGCCTCAAAATGAAATGAGGGCAGTCAAAACATTTAGAAATTTTTGAAATGTTTTGAGGTTCAAAGCTCAAGCTGGGCGTGCCTGCAGGGAAACAGAACGTAAGGAGAGAGAGGGGAAGAGTGGGGAAGGGCTGCTTTCATATTGACTGTGTAGCTGGCCAGCGACTGTGCTCCTTCCCTGAGGTCCCTTCCAACCCCAGTGCTCTGGAGGAGGGATGGAAAAACAGCATAGAAGACAGCATTGTCTAAACTGGCCTGTTTTCTTCCTTGGGGTCTGACAGTTACTGAGCTGTGTCTTCCAGCAGCTTAGGAGCGTTAGACAACAAACGCTACTACTAGCATTGATTTCAATTATTTCCTACTTGCTAGCCTAGCAAGTAGGATTCTTCAATGCCTGTTTCTTTCTTCTAAACCCTTTTATTTTATTATTATATTCATTGATTTATTATTTTCAATTTTATAATTATATTGGATATTACACTGTAGAATGTATATAGAAAGGGAGATACATCTATATTTTATTTCTATACATTTATAACTTGCAGCATATTACATACATTATAGGAACCCAGATACATGTATATATTTGTATAAAAACAAGACACTATGAAACACACCATGACATGTGGTGGAAAGCCAGCTGGCAAGCCTTTAGGGAGGGGTGGAAGAGAGGGTAAAGGGAGAGGTGTAAGTCCTACCCCCCAAACTGAGATGCAGCCTCTTTCCTACAACTAGCAGGGGTGAGGCTTCCAGAAGCAGCAAGGAGGGGGAGCAGTGCCAGTGCCACTGCCTGTGCCTGAGACTGCATCCTCTCCAGGAGCACCAGCCATAACCCACCTTCACCACCACCATGAAGGCAAGCAGCATCACCAGCATGACAGTCTTCTCCACCCCCATTTCACTCTCCACCCCCATTTCACTTCCAATGCTGAGCCTTCCAGTGCCAGAGGAAGAGCTGGGACTGGATCTGGATCTGAGTACCCTAGCAAGGGAAATTCTGGGGAAGAAGGGGGAATCATCTGAGTTTGTGCTCCACACCTCTCAAGTTTCCCCTAGAACCAGTTCTCCTTCCCCAGAAGGCACTTCAGAAGAGGCTGAGGTAGAGGTTGCAGAGGCAAGCAGTAGAGCTGTGCAAAATTTTGCCACCAGTTTTGTTTCAACACTGTTGCAACCTGTTTCAAGGTTGAAACGGCAAAATTGAAACAAAACAGATATAGTCAAAACACCCTCGAAACAAAATGAGTCAAATCAAAATGTTTTGTCATTTCAATGCTGTTTCGACGTTTCACCCATAGGCTATAATGGGGTAGGTTGAAACAGCCTATAACTTTGTCATTTCTGGCCTGATTTGGATGAAACTTGCAGGAATGGTAGCACCTTCTAAGGGCATGAAGCTTACTAAGTTTCAAGGAGATAAGTGCAGGGGGTTCAGGGAAACTGCACCGCAAAATCTTGAAGGCAAAACCTGTGTCACGTGTATGTGTTAAGCCACAGTGGGGTCAAAACTGCAGTCATGCTAGCCCCTGCTAAGGCCACAAAGCCTACCATGTTTCAAGGAGATAGGTGCAGGGGTTTGGGGAAAACTACCTCAAGCTGTGGACATGGAAAACTTGTGACATGGGTGACTGTGTGTGTAAAGGTGCAGCAAGGTGAAAGCTGCAGGCCTGTTAGCCCCTGCTGAGGCCACAGAGCCTACCAGCTGTCAAGGAGATAGGTGCAGGGGTTCTGGGGCCCTGCACCTCTAGCTGCTGACAGGCAAAACTTGTGTCATGGGTGCTTGTGCAACTGTGTCTGTCTTGGGTCAGAGGGGGGATGAAAACTGCAGGCCTGCTAGGCCCTGCTACAGCTACGAAGCCTTCCATCTGTTAAGGAGATTGGTGCCGTGGGGTTCTGGGGCTGTGCACCCCTGGCTGCTGACAGGCAAAACTCGTGACATGGGTGCTTGTGCAGCTGACTGTTTGTCTTGGGGCAGAGTGGGGTGAAAACTGCAGGCCTGCTAGCCCCTGCTGCTGCCATGATGTTGGCTGCAAAGGACCAAATCACAGGATCATCATAAAATTTTAGTTTATTAGATGGTTGCAAAAGTCAGATCATAAACCTTGGGGCTGATCCCCTCAAACACACACACCCACACACACAGAGTAGCTAGCTATGAATACTAAGCACCAGTGTCAAGATATACCTATCCCCAAGCCCTGGAGTCTGCTGTCGATGGCCAGTCGAGGCTTCTTTCAGTGTAATGTTGCTTCAAAAGGGGGTAGCTAGGTGGTTCTTCTTGCTGGACCGGCAGGGTGCTGGTCAGGTCAGAGGGCACCATTGGGGTCATTCTTCACTGCCTTTTATCCCCCTCTGGAAGCCTTTGGTGACTCTCCAATTATCGGGCTTACCCAATCCAGGGGTCGTTGACCTCATGGGACATCCCCCTTGGTGGCTACTGGATGGCAGCTGTCAGCTCCAGGGGTCATGTCCTCATGTACGTGCAGTCTCAGGAGTCCATTGATGAATTTTGATTAATTCACTTCTGTGATGAATAGGGCTCTGAAAGCAGTTGATCAGGGGATATTCAGTCCCAAGAGTCGGTCTCCAGCATTCATTAGTTCAAACCGAGGCTTTTGTACCTTTAACAGTGAAGTTTCAAAGAGTTCTCAGCTCTGTTTGATTCTTCCCTCTCGTTAGTCTATGGTTTGGTAGGTGTTAATCCTTGCTCATTACCTCGTTATCGTAGCTTACTACTGTGTTATGCAATCAATCATAATTCACTTAGGGACCAGCTCAATACACAGTAGTATAGAAGTGGGGGATCCGCTGTTCCATGCTAGCATGCCATCCACCAGCCAGTGTCCTCCTCCACCACAGGCACTGTCAATATGGGCCAAGGGCATGGCATCCATGGTGGGGTCCAGAGGCACCAGACCCCACCATCAGACAGATAGCACTCAGGCCTTGGTGGCTGCCTATCTTGCTGAGGATGTGGAGCTGTTTCTGTGTGACCCCTTGGCCTACTGGACAAGCTGCAGCCAGATGTAGCTGGATTTGGCCACAGTTGCCTGGGAACACCTGTCCTATCCACCGACCAGTGTTCTGAGCGAGAGAGTGTTCAGCATTGCTGGGGATGTAGTGATCCATCACTGGCAGGGAGAGTTGTCTGGCAGCTGCTGGAGAAGAAGCTCCTGCAGGAGAGGGAAGAAATTCTCTGTCACAATTTGGCTGCCTGAGATGCTGCTGATGTTATTGTGTTAGTGTGCTCACTAAGTTATTTTAGTACCTGCTATCATTTAAAGGGATGGACCGGACTGAGGCTGTAGGGGAGGAGGAGACCTCATTGGAGCACACTACCATGTCATGTAGGTGCCCCAGAGCTAGTGAGGTCACAGGTTAACACACACGCAGTGTCACCCATGTCATGAGTTTTGCTTGTCGGCAGCCTGAGGTGTATTTTCCCAGAAACCGCTGCACCTGTTTCCTTGAAATCTGACAGGTTCCATGGTCTCAGCAGGGGCTAGCATGCCTGCAGTTTTCACCCCGTTGTGTTTTAACACACACACAGTGTCACCCATGTCATGAGTTTTGCTTGTCAGCAGCCTGAGGTTCATTTTCCCAGAAAGCTAGCTCCTTGAAAGCTAGCAGGTTCCCTGGCCTCAGCAGGGTCTAGCATGCCTGCAGTTTTCACCTTGCTGTTCCTTAACACATACATGTGACAAGAGTTTTGGTTGTCAGCAGCTTGAGGTGCAGTTTCCCAGAAACCCCTGCACCCATCTCCTTGAAACATGGCAAGCTTTGTGGCCTCAGCAGGGGCTACCATGCCGGCAGTTTTCACCCCGCTGTGCTTTAAGACACACATGTGACACATGTTTTGCTTTCAAGACTTTGAGGTGCATTTTCCCAGAAACCCCTGCACCTATTGCCTAGAAACATGGCAAACTTCATGGCCTCAGAAGGGGCTACTGTCCCTGTAAGTTCCATCTGAATCAGGAAGGAAATGACAAAGTTATTGGCAGTTTCATGCTTCCCCATTATAGCCTATGAACAAAACATCAAAACAGCATTGAAACAGCAAAACAGTTTCAACAAAATGAAATGGAACAGCGGTTTGGAATTGAAACAGAACTTGAAATGCAACACTGTTCCACTGAAATGTTGAAATGGAAGTCAAAACCGAACGGTGTTGTTTCAAACATTCCTAATTGTCACACTCCTAGCTAGTTCTGTGAATTGTTGAGAAGAGGCAAACCTCCTGGGTGAGGCCCTTTTCCCAACTTCCTGCCATGCCTTGATATTAAATTAAAGGAGGGGTTCAGTGAGATCTCATATAGCCTCCCATCCAGGTTCTACTAACGGTACCTCTGAGGCTGACGTGGGGCTCTGCCTCCCTTATACCTCATCCACACACCAACCGCTGGAGATTTTGGGTTAGGACACTCGGCTGCTGACGCAAACTACAGATGTCTATCTAGGTCCTGTCAATGCTCTTGGAAGCAATTTCTGTGCCCTGGGCCTTTTTTTCCCCAGTCACTTCTTCTTTTAAATAAAAAATGTAGAAAAATTAATAATAATAATAATAATAATAATAATAATAATAAAACAGCTGGCAAAAGGCTTTGCCAGGGTGACCCCCCCTTCCCCTTATTTTAGTACCTGGTCTTTCACTTCTCAGAGAGCCGAGCTCCACAGCTCTCCCTATCTAATTGAATCTCAACCCCAGCCAGGGTCCTCCTTTCTCTGGCATTTCTTGCTGGTGCACCATTCCTACTGCTGGGCTTTAGCTGGCTGGAGCAGGTTCACTGATATCCACCCTCCTTGGCACCCTCGGTGCCTTTTAAATCTCCTGCTGTGGCACACCAGACTGACGTCATCAGCTGTGTGCCACCTACCCAGACTATGAGGGAATTTATAAATCAGCAGAGCTGATTCCAGCCCTGGCTCCCTTCTTGGTAAGTTTAGGGCAGCCTTTTCAGACCCTGGTCCCCTCTGGACCAGGTCAAAGGGGGCATTAAGGAGGCAGGGATTGTACAGGGCACTTGAGCTGCCACAGATATGTAGATAGATAGATCAGAGATAGTTATTTATTTATTTATTTATTTTTAATAGAGTTTATTCATGTAATAACTTATTTACAGGGTGAAAATGCTACATTTTTATATTTCTTTTAACTTTTTATACTGTAATTTAATTTTTATATTTTTTATATTTATTGTATTTTTATACTGGGTTTTTTTTTAACGAGTGGTGAATTTTATTTTCAACAAAGCATGCAATACATGATTTTTTTTTTAAATAAGCAGAAATAAAGGTTAAAAGATTAAAACTCATAATTAAAGTTAAAATTCATAGTAAAAGTTGGGATTCATAATACAGTTCATTCCGGATGTGGCATTTTTTTTCATAGGCAGATTGGTGTGGGAGTCCATGAGGTATGGGGGTGGATTCGGGGGTGGGGGGGGGAAGTGACGACTGTGGGTCAACATGGGAATCCCTGGCTTCGGGGGACCTTCTGGGGGCATTTCTGGAGTGAGGGAGGTAATTAGTGGTTTAAATGTGTCCCCTGCTATAATTCAGTATGGAAGACAGCAGCACCTCGCCCTGCTGGTATTTACTGGGAATTGCACACCAGGCTTAATTCTTTCAAAAGCGTAGAACATGCAAACTCTGACAGAGCATTTTAAAATAAACAATTTTAAATTTTATAAACCTATTTAATTAAATGAGGATTAAATCCTGTTACGTGTACAAGGGCCCCAGACCTCCCCCAGTAGTCACACCTAGTCCTCTGCTTTGAACTTGGACAAACAAAACAAAACAAGTAACCACCTAACACAAAACCTTTGTGATTTGGGCAAATGAATGAGGAAAGAAAAAGGTATGCTATGCTATTTGTTGAAAAGGAAACCTTCCTCCTCAGGGTAAACAAAGAAACAAGCCTTCAGGCAACCATCCTCCAGCAGGGCTCTCTCACCTCCCTGCCTCCAAGTCAAGGTTGCCAAGTCTGCTTATAATAAGCAGAATTCAGCTTCTTTTCTTTAAAAAAATCACTTTAATATTTTGAGTCATGGGTTGCAGTTTTTTGGGCTTGTTTTATTTGGAGATCACTTATTTTGGGATTTTTTTATAATAGGTGGCTTTAAAAAAGTAATAGTCCAGGGATGGGCAAAATGGCGGATCCAGCCAACAGCCAGACTTCATTTTCCAGCAGCACCTGCCCACTTGGGTAGGGCCAGTTTGCAAGGATCCCCTGCAGCAGCTGCGCTGTGATAGCCTGGGGCCAAGGTTTCTATGGATAGTGGCCCCAGCAGTGCTTTCAGGGTACACGGCAGGGTGCAGAGCTGCTCCACAGCCAGCCTAGGATCTTGTAGTGGTGACAAAGTGGTTCAGAGCTAGGGCATAGCTGCGATCTGCAGCCTGCGTGCTCCAGGCAGGGGCGTGCAGGCAGCGGACCGTGGCTTTGCCCCAGCTCCTTCCAGCGGTGACACCGTGGTCCGGAGCTGGGGCAGAGCTGTAATTCACTGCCTGCCCACTGCTGCTTACTCCCTTGAAGGCAGCCCCTAATAAGTAGTTCTTCCCCCCGCAACTTGGAAACTCCCTGGGACTACTCCTTTAAAGTACTGGGAACCCTGGCTCCCTGTTACACTAAGCCTGGCTAGGCCCTAACTCAGCAGAGCCTGTTAGACCTCACAATAGCTGTGGCTAAATACTCAGGGGGGGTCCCTTATCATCCCAAGTAGAAACACTGTTATGCTGTTATTGGTGGTTGATTTAACCAGTTCAGCATTTCTTTATAGTGAACATTAATGTCCTACACGGGTGATGCTCAAACTTCTTGGCTGGCAGGCTGGATGGGCAATGTCTGATCCCTCTGTGGGCCAGATCCAGTGGGGCCCACACTTATAGCACATGTATGAAAGAGCCCATTACTAGAAGAAAAAGTGCTATAAAAAAAACTCAATGCATAGTAACTGAAAATATTAAGGGGCAGATCCTATTCCAGCTATTGGGCTAAACAGGCTTTATGTACAAAAGCAGGGGTGGACAAAATATGGCCAGTGGGCCATATTTGAATTGCAGGACCCCTAAAAAAATTTTGAAAATTAAAATTTATCTGTCCTTGGTTCCTGTCAAAAATGACAGGAATGAGGGGCAGTAGGACCTAGGGGAATCCTCGGCAGGCTCCTGCAACCTGGCTGGCTTCCCCAGCTGGAAGCCCCAGCAGGGGCTTCTGGCCTGGGATCACATGGCTGCCCCAGCGCTGGAACCACAGGTAAGTGGGGGAGGGGAAGAGCAGGAAAGGAGCTGGTGCGGAGCACAGGGAAAAGTGGCCCCTCACCCGCCCCATGGCCCTTGCTGCCTGCTGCAGCTGCTCGCATGCCCGACACAGGGCTGACCTGAGCAGGCACAGGCAGCTCTGCACCAACATATGTTAGCATAATCTGACAATTTCACCTTTAGAAAAACAAGCGTACAGCCCATCTATGGTCAGGACCCCTTTGCAAGCTTAGGCACAAAAATGAAGGAGCAGCTACAATTCCCTTAATGATTATCTTTCTTATATACAAGATTCAAGTAGTTTCACATCTGTTAATTGTTATCCTTCCTAATGGTTCCCCATCCACTCTTAGCTGATTGGGGGTTACTACCACACAAGTTATAAAAGATGCAAGACACAGGTTTGCACCCCATGCTTTTTATTTATACCCCAAAGCACAGCAGCAAACATATCCCAGTTCTATCTAGATACCAACAAGAGCACAATACACATTTCACTCATACCACTTGGGGAGACTCAGAACAGGGGGTTCAGAACAGGACCCAGACTGGCATATGGTCTTACATTTTTGGATTCTTCTATTTTCCTTGACTTTATACCATATATTTATGCATGGCTGTCACGGGATGGGGTCCCCAGGGATGGCCATGATACCCCTAG